ACGCGCATTCTATCACTTAATGCAAAGCAGATTCCAGGATTAAGAGGAGTGTTATGTATGATTTCTACGTAGATATTTCTTGCTGAAATTGCGGGAAGGCCTGTTTGGGTATTTGTTTCATTTATTGTTTCTTTAGTAGGTGATCTTCCTAAGGTTAGGAAGCGTGTTTCTGAATTTAGAATTGTTCTTAGGGTGACGGGGGCTTTCTCGTAGCGCGGCTATGAGATTTGAGATGTTGGATCATCTATTGCAATTGAAATCTACTTGTTCTGACTTCTTTCTTAAAACATTCAATAAGTGTCTTGTATGTTATATTCGTGGGCCCGGACACACCTGAGTGTTTAGGATTTCTTTTTTTCTCAATACCGTCTAGACGATATTTATATTATCTTAGAACGATCCGGTTTAAAAATAACCTATCAGGATCCTTTAGTTAAGGAAGCCGTAATTAACTATCATTTCCCTGGATGATACACATTTATCGGCACAGGACGAATACCAAAATAGAAAAAATAGCCTCCATGATCAATTTAAGTATTCTTAACATTTTTGGAAATCAGCTGGACGAGCATGAGAATGCGTCTTGGACGATATAGACAATTATGCCAAAATTGATCTGAATGAAAGAAGCAATTAGCTTGAATTTGATCGACAATCATTCCCTGGATTGATCGTGAGAATCAGTCGAGATTGATATATTCAAAAACTGTAGTTGCCTAGGACGATAATAATGGCCAGCATAAATTCAGGGCGAGTGTTCTGGCCAATCGGATCGAAAAGCTCGAATTCAAGGAGATGCTCTGGATGATTTTCCTCTGATTGAACTGATCGTCAAGGATGATCGTGAGATCGGCCGGTGATGGTTTCAAAGCCATTTTTTCAATCGTCCAGTTCATTTTCAGAGAAGTGTTCTGGCCGATCATTTCTGTGATTTGAACTAATCATACGGAACGATATTATTTCGACCTGGATGATAATGACGGTAACTTCATTATTAAGCTCTGTTTGAAGCTCTTATATTTAAGAGCTATTGTTCAACATTTTTGAACATCTTTTGCTGCTAACCTTGACCTGAGAAAACCTAAAGGAGAGACGAGATAGAGAGAGAGAGGGAGAGGAGAGAGAGGATCTTTATGAGGGGCGAGCTTGTGAGGGAGTTCACAAGGGTTCTCCGCAAGCATTATTCCGCTTCTTATTCCTAGAAGTCTCTTATCCCTTTCACAACTATACTGAAGATTACAAGTTGCATCTAAAGATCCATGAAGGCAAAGGATTGACCTTCTTGAAGATCTATAAGAATGAAAATCTTAGGTGACATCCAAACAAATTTTTAGAGAGTCCTACTTAAAGAAAATGAGTGTGATATCCCAAATAAGTTTTTTTGAAAATCGCACTAAAATGAGAGCTTTTGTGTGACATCTAGAACAAATATTAGAGATCACAAGGCCCAAAAAGCTTACAAACAACCATGATTCGGCTCTAGATAACACCATATTTATTTAGGGGCATTTGTTAACACATCTATTTATGCCCCAAAAACAAAATGAAGAAAAATACACATCATACATCTTAATGTCTGATCCATGACATTTGTGCTGAGATCTGCCGCTGAATTCGGGCCACTACATGCCATTTTTTCCGGCATTTTCCCTGCGACGAAACTGGCCTCGATCATCGTTGCCTTCTCTCAGGTATAAAAATGCAAGTAGATGGGAGCTCTGGTGTGACTATTCAATATCGCAACATGACCTAACCCTCTTACTAAGCTGAACTCCCTGCCCACATCGTTCCCTCACCAAGCTGTCCTCTACGGATCAAGTTAAGCCCGATGCTTGGATTCTCTCTATCACTTAACGAGTTCGGCCTTTCTCCTACTTCACTCTGATACCATATCGTATTGATCGCCTCTCATGGCGCTGATCAAATCTCATCGCCTCCTGTTGGAAAGATTTAATGAGGTGAATGCATCAAGGGGAATTTCGGCCAGGTCATGAGAATGGGTTTTAAATTATTTCCAAGTGGGAATAGAGGATTAGGAAATAAATCCAAGAGATTTATTAAAGGGTGGGCGGTTTAAAGATGATGGAGGAGATTGGGGAGGTGATTTTTGGTGCTTAATTTAAGGCTTTAAAATTTAGGAAAGTGTTTAAATAAATCCTATTTGAATTTGAAATTCAAATTGATTTACTTAAAGAACTTTCCTAAAATAGATTTGATAAAATAGAAAAGATTTTGAATTTCAAATCAATTAAATTTGAATTACATCATGAATGAGATTCAATACTTTCCTAAAATAGCTTTCTAATTTAGGAAACTATTCGAAATTCAAATGATGAAAATAATTTCCTAAATTATTTGAACTCTTTAGGTAAGCATTAAGGTGGCATTGACTCCTCATTCATGGAGACAAACAAGGGTGGCCGACGGTGAGCTTGGCTTAGGTGGAGCGGTGGAGCAGCTAATGGAGAAAAGGGATTGGGTTGGTGGTTAGGTTGAGATGAGCTTTGGTAGGAGGGGTTATGGGGGTGGTGGTTGGTGGTGGGGGATGGACGGAAGGAGGGGGATGGTGAAGAGGATGAAGATAACGACTAGGAGTAATAAGAAGGAACAAAACAAATAAACAAAATATAAAAGATACAACCGCGAGCCCGGACACATCCTGCGGCTGACGGGTACTACGTTGCCCTACTCCAAGGGACTTCACGCCACGAGCCCGGACCCATCCTGCGGCTGACGGGAACTACGTTGCCCTCCTCCAATTGACGAATGGTTGTCCCATAGTTTCTATGTGCTGCCCAAAGCTTTTCTGAGCAATATAGGTTGCTGTCCATAACAGTTTTCTGCATTCCGGACAAATTCTACCTGCTGTCCTAAAGTTTCTACAAGACAAAACTGTTGTCCCTGTTGTCAAAGCTGCAGTTTAGACCTCACTAATTGCTCTTCAAGACCCTTAGGATTCAAAACCTCCTACCCATTCTACATCACCTTCTCCCTCTAATATTTTTCATACACCCTCTGAGCAAGCTCTATTGTCTCTCTCAGCCCTCTAGGTCTCAGCACCCTGAGCTCTACTTGTATGTCTTCCCTAAGCCCCATTATGAAATTCCCTTCCAAACCTTCCTAAAAAATTCCTCTAAATCTTCCCAACAGTAGCTCAAACTTCTCCCGATGCACCATGATTGTCCCCTCTAGAGTTAGAGCATCGAACTGTTCGTGGAAGTCTCCTTCCTGAATGGTTCAAAAAATGCTCCAACAAACATTCCATAAATTCCCCCCACGAATAGATCGGAAATCGAGCCTCCCTCCACCGAAACCAAGCTAGGGCTTTTCCCTCCACACATAGCTCTACCGCCATGAGTTTTTTCCCTTTCGTCGGGCCATTGATTGCAAAATAACATCCAATCCGAGACACCAAACCCTCAGCATCTTTCTTTTCAAACACTGGCATCTTCAACTTTCTCGATCTCCCATCCATATCCCAATGACTTCTCCCTCCGTTAGTTCCTCCTAATGTAATGATGGTGCAAATCTTTCCTTTCCCCCCTTGGCTAATTTAGACCACATGGCTTCGCCCAACCATGACATCCACCATTTCACTGCTTGACATGCCCGAGTAGTCTCCCAAAGGATCCGGCCTCCCCCCTCCTTGTTGTCCTTCCTTCGAAATACCCTGATCCACCCACCAACACAGTTTTTACTCTTGCTTTCATTTATTGTTCTTGTGGCGATCCTTGATGGAAAACACTCTCCACTTCATCATAGTCCTCCGAAATCTCCTTCCCTTCAGTTCAGCCCACAAAACTGTCGGTAAGGATTTGATTGCATTTCGATCAACTTTTTCATCATGTCTTCCACATTTTTGAAGCGGCTTTCCATGAATGAGGGCCTCCCTTCTATACCGAAATATCGTTCCACCACTCCGACCTTGAGATTTTCCATCTCGCCTTCCAACACCTCCATCTTCTTTGCTGTCACTTATGGATTTAAGTTCCAAACCATGAAAAACAACAAAAAATTGACATATATGATCTTCAAACGGCTAAAATCAACAAGGTGGGAAGAAAAATGCAGCATAAATCAGCATAGGAGACTTAAATTTCAGCCGAGGATATCATTCTGAAACCAATTTGATAGGAAGTGCTTGTAGAAATTTAGGAAAAGTCTTGGCTGAAGTCTGATTTCAACAATTTTAGAAAATCAACGACAAGAAAATCAGGAATAGAACACACAAGAACATTTTTTTATTAAAAGTTTTATGAAAGAAAGACAAGATACAAGTGGATCTTCAATTAGACAGAAAAATCCGGCTCTCCTAAATCTCTAGCCTCCGGCTAGAGCTCAAATACCCTAAGAACAATCTAAATTCAACAAACAACACATACCCCTAACCCTAAAAAAATCACATACTTAAAGCAAACAATAAACATCAAATACCCAAATAGCCCTCCCCAAATTTCCTCCCAAATCTACCTATTTTCTTAATTATTTCCCTCCCAAATCAGCCCCCAAATATGTCGTCTTCAATTAGGAAATATTTTTTTAATTAATCCCCTCCAAATTTGTCCTCTTCAATTAGGAAACATTTCCTATTAATCCCCTCCAAATCAGCCAACACCACTCTCCTGCATCTTCCGCTCCCGCCATATCATGGATATATCAATCTCCTTTGCACAATAGATCTACCTACTCCCATCTCTTTCTCTTGCATTGCTTTTGGAAATAATTCAATAGATATGTGACAATTCCCAAGCCAATTTGGAAGCTTAAATTATCATTTCCCTTTTATTTTCTTTTTTTCATTATGCATGACTCCCTTTGGCTCCATAGCTCTATCATGGTCAGAACTAGATTCTCATTAAAATTGTCTTAAAGGGTTGAAAAAAATGAGTATTTGATCTACAAATCAAATTAACTAACAATTAAGTAGTACCATGCCAAAACATTTAAAAAAGCACTAACTTTCAAAAAATGTAATGAAGGCATGGATAAGTATGAAGAACCTGTCGAGGAAATAGCCTGTGCGCCAGGAATTGACTGCATGAGAATTAGTATTAGTAAATGGCAGAATGCTCGTTAACAAAAGGAAAACAGAGTTTAGACTAACCTTATAAATTAAAGGAACTCTAAATATCCCATTCATTGATGAGAGTGATGAAGGCCTAAAAAACGAAGTTTAATTAGATCTCTGCATTTCGGGATTTTAGGTTAGCATATCCAGTAACAGTACTTAATATTGTCTGCCTAAAAATAGAATTCGAGATTCATCAAAAAGAGAGGCATACAAATTTAAACCACATGATTTGTAATCCTTAAAAACTCAAAACTTACAAGGCATTACGGTCCTACACACAATCTATTTATACACATCTAAAACAACGTTCAATGGCCAAAAAATTTGACACTAAGCATCCTCTCCACTAATCCAAGAGAATAATTTTGTTCACATTACAGATTAAAAAATGACTCTTCAATTGTGCACTTCGTTATTATGGAAACATAACTGAACTAGCACTAATTCACAAAGTATGAATGACTTAATTTATTGATGCATAGCCTTGAAATACTGCCACAAAAGCATCTATCTAGTACAAAAAAAAAAAGAGATTGACTTGAAAAACAGACCAACCACATTAGATGGATTTTGGCAAAATAAGTTTTCGGGCTGGGTTCAAGTCAAATCCAAAATTGAACCGCTCTTAACTCGTCCAAACCGAACATGACCCATTTGTCCAAACAGGTTAAACATCTAAACTAAACCGGACCTGGCACCAACCCGACCGACCCGACCAGCTAACATGCGAGTGCGAGCAGACGAGTGTCAAGCGAGAGTGAGGGCAAGGCCATGAGTGTGGGAGCGGATGCGAGCGCGAGCACAAGTGCGACGAGCAAGGGTCGCGACTCGAAAGGAAAGATGCGATCGAGCGGGTTCAAGTCAAATAAGTTGATTTCAGGTTCAGAAATTAACCCAAAGCTGACCAAATATGTTAATCAAGTAAAAAAATTTAAACTTGAACCTAACCCATTTGTTAAAGAAGATCATCTAAACCCGAAATTTTTGGGTAAAGCCCGGGTCGGGTTTTCAGATCATGTAATATATTGACATCCCTAGATTTCACATTCAAGCTGTAATATCTAAAATTTTAAAAAAGTACAATTAAAAATTCTCCTAAAAATTATAACCTCATTTTTCGCACATGTCAAAAATCACCAAAGCTATTTTTATAAAATCCTACTTTTCAAATCCTACTTTTCATTCCAAAGCTACTTTTCATTTCAATGAAATTATAACCTCAATATGTGAATATCAATGCTAAGTAATTTTAAATGCTTCATAATAATATTAAATAAAAAAAAACCAATGAAATGTCATTTCTTGTGAGATAGATTGGCAGACTATAATGACTTGCTTAGGAGAGACAAAAGTTCTAACAAGATGAGGCTCTTTTTGCTCTGGAAAGTGCTACGAATGTGGAGAAGTTGAGCACCTCAAAACGGATTGTTCTTTGGAGAAGCGAAATAGCAAGCCACATGGGTATCAAGGACAAATTCAACAAAAGAAATTTTTAAAAGTGTAACAAATCAAGTAAAATTCATTTTTATGAAAAGTCATATGCTCAGGTGAAATAAGAAACTGTAAAGAACAAGAACAATAAAACAATGAAAGCAAGAGTTTTTACTATAACACCGTAACAGGCTAAGGAATCAAAAAAAGAAGTTACAGGTGTGCTTTTGATCTCCATTCAATTTGGTGCAGCTCTGTTTGAGCTAGTGATTAACACTCTTTTATATTTGAAGAGTTGCTTTTAATTTATTAGTTGATACTGTGTCTTTCATATATGAAATATTTGTTATGATGTCAGCCGGAGATAATATGTATGCAAATAAAAAAATTTACTGTGAACATTGATATTCATTGTAGAAAAGTAATAGTAGTACTAATTTTAATACCTATGATGACTTTTGATGTAATCATGGGAATGAATCGGATGGTTAGACATTTGGTTATAATTGAATGTTAGAAGAAAAGTGTAAGATTTGATTTGCCTAATGAGAACTAAATTTACTTTTCTTATGATAAGACTACGAGGTATTCCCGAAAAAAGTGCATTAAAAATGAATAAATATATGAGAAGCGGCTAAATGGTGTTTTTGGCACAATTTGAAATATTAAATAAATATGTTCAATAATTGAAAAATATTTTAGTTGTATTAGAATTTATTGATGTGTTTCCACACAAATTACCTGAATTTTCACCTAAAAAATAAGTTGATTTAATATTAATATTCAGATCTTGTGATAGAATGGCTCCAAATGAATCACAAGAATTGAAATATCAATTGCAGGGACTGATAGATAAGAGATACAACTAACCAAATAATTCACCTTAAAGTGCTTTTTGTCAAGAAACAAATATGGATATATGAGAATGTGGATCGATTATAGAGAGCTGAGTAAAGAGAAAATTAAGAATAAATACTCATTCCCAAAAAATCAATGATTTATTTGAACAATTGAAAGGTGATTTTGTGTCTTATAAAATTGATTTGAGATCAAGATAGCATTCAGTCAAAGTTAAAGAAGTGCATGTAACCAAGACGTCATTTGGAACCAAATAGGGTCATTACAAGTTTCTAGTGTTGCTAATTGATTTAACAAATGCACTGGTTCTTTTTTATGGATTTGATAAATAGGATTTTCAAGCCATATATAAATCAGTTTGTGATTATATTCATTAATAATAATTTGATAAATTATAAAGCTAATGAAGAACATACTAAAAATTTGAGAATAATTACAGAATTATTAAGGAATAATCAATTGTATGCAAAATTTTAAAAATGTGAATTCTGGTTGGAAAGTATTGCATTTGTGAGGCATATCATCAATGGTGAAGGAGTCGTAGTAGATCCTCAGAATGTGAAATCAATATATGAATGGCTTATGCCAAAGAAAGTTAACAAGATTTGTAGTTTTATTGATACTATTGGAGGTTTGTGAGGGATTCTCGCTTATAGCATTACTCTTGTCTGAAACAGCAACAACAACAACAACAACAACAACAACATCAAGCCTTTATCCCACTACATGGGGCTGCATGAATTCTTTTTTTTTTTTCCGTTGTGTCATGTTAATGGTCAAATTCTCATTTAAATCTAATAAAGAAAGGTCATTTCTAATGTTCTATAAACAAGTATTTTTAGGTCTACTTCTACTTTTTTAACAAAAGCTAAATATAATACATCTACTCTCCTAACAAGTCATAGGAAGGCCTCCATTTTATATGACCAAACCTTCTAAAACAAGTCTTCCTCATCATCATGTAGCCAAGCTCTTTTGTAGACAAAAGAGTTTTCCCACCTACAAGCCCACATTAAATTTTGTAGTATTATTACAAAAAACTTGCCAACATTAAACCTGGGGGATGACACTTCATTTTTAGTAGGGTATGGGAGAATTTCTTCTAGTACTCCAAGTTCTTTTATCTGAAGGTGTGGTGAGTTGAGAATTTAGACCATTGTACGACTATTCATGGTTTTATTTTCAGTTCCAAAGTCCAAGACATTTTCCCAAACTGCAAATATGTTGGGGTGATTAAGTGGAGGTTCCACATTGATACCAGAATGAGCAGAGAAAACTGCAAGTAAGCTTAAATTCTGTCATCATCATTTATCTCATCATGGCTTTATGCTTTGTTTAGGGCACTGGTCTATTGCACAACCTCAAACAATATCAAATAAAATATCTTAAGACAGGTGCACCACCACCATGGTTTACACTAGTACCAAATTTCAATCCTCATTGCTCCTGACACATAAACTTGACCTGCCATAACATTTTTTCTATATAAACCAAATTCAATTTGTTGTCTTGAAAAAGAAGTGTGGAAAATCAAATTCAAGCCTAATGGTATTTGAACCACAAGAAATTTGCCGAAGAACAACAGCATGATGGCAAAAACTTGATAATGAACTGAGCACCATTAGGACTAGAAAAAATGCATGCATAATAAGAACATATCTGTTTACATTAATCGGATAAAAGACTTCCAAAAAGCATTAAAAACAGTTCTAGTAATAAGTTGGTTGAAAAGTCAGATCTCAATACTAGTTCAATCAAGAACGTACAAATTTAACAAGAAGATATTCAACAAGTCAAACAGAGTCAAATGAATACCTTATATTGGTAGCATAACCAGATCCCAGCTGGAAAGAACTATGTGCACGAACCAAGCTACATATGGAAAATAATAATCATAATGCAAGCATGGATGATTTCAAAGGAAAAAAAATAATCTCATCGATTAATTGTGAAGATAAGTGATTAGTAAATATGCACAAATCCATATGGTCCACAGTAAAACTTCTTCATCTAAATTTGCAGAGCAGAAGTACCAAACATGTTCACGAAATGTACATCAGTACATTAGGAGAAAAGGTAGACTATTCCTCAGCACAGTAAACCAAAAAGATGAAATTCACAACAATGATAACAGCTAGAAAGAAAATTGAACAGAGACAATAAAAGCAATCAACTTGACATAACTTCTTCCAAGAAAAGGGTTAAATGTATGAAAGTACACTTCAATGCTTAAAGCTTCAAAGAAATAATAAAGCAACTACCGCATAACAAAATACGAAAAACAAATTGAAAATCTGGCAAAATAACTTGAGAGCACCAGAAGAGACCTCAGATTTTTAGAAGTAAAATAGATGAAGAGTTAGGGTCATGAGAAATGTAAGAAGTCACTAAGTAATGGAGGATCCTCTCAAACTTGGAGCTTAAAAAATAGTTCAATGCATGATTACCACTTGCTTTAAGTATTAGAACACAGTTACCATTGTACGAAGAAATTAAAGGATAAAGATTCACTTCCAAGATATTCAGAAGAAAATAATTAAATTTCAAACAAGGACATATCATAGATAAAAAAATAATGCATCATGTGTAAAGACATTCTAACCACAAGATTAAATTCAACTTTAGAAAATATACCAATAAAATAGAATAATGAAAGAAGAGGCCCCTAAACAGTTTGAAAATGAATTAAATACTGTCAAAATCAGAACGAACCAGGACCATCAACTTTATGCAGAATACCTCAAGTTTAATAAGGAGCTACAATTTTTAAAGGCAACAACAAAAAAAATAATTTAGTACCTTCATTAGTTTTACCTAATACTTAAGTATGTGTTTGCCAGAATGAATCTAAGTATAAGAATTTTATTAAATATACAAAGCTATGACTGGAAACATGAAACCATAATGTATTTGGTTTGGGGAACAAACCTGCTTATGAAATGTTAAACATGTGTGGCAACTAGCGAAGGGACGAGAAATGATTTGAATTTGGGTTCTATTTTATTGTGGTATTGCCCCTCTATTCAAAAAGTAAAATTCTAGGTTTATCTTAGTAGTTCTACATATGGAAATCACGAATTGCTTGTATAGCTTTCGGAACTTCAAAAGAAACCGGACATATTTGAGGTCGCTACAGTGCACAAAATACCCTAAGATGTTTCATAAAGTGAATTTGGATCCAATGAAATGTTATATTCAACGCATCACCTTCTTCCCATTCCTCCATGTGGCATGCCACCCAAAAAAGCTTCAGTAAGCTTCCAAAGTTATCGCTTTGTTTCGTTAATCATAAAAGAACAAGAAGACTTACGGAGACAATAGTCCTTCTTTAAACAAAATAAAATGGATACGAATCCAAGAGAAACGCAGAAGAAACATTTTGTATATATATATATATAAGAAATCGAAAGTCTCGAGTGCATACCGCTGGAGAAGGAATCGAAAGTTGGCCATTGATTCGTGCAATGCCTTCACCCGAATTCAGTTCCACCCTAAAGGATCACATGGTCGCAAATCAAGCAAAACCTTTCGGTTTTCAATTTACTAACAACCGCTGTAACAAAAGACACATAATCTACTCTCATGCCTGATGAATCAGAAGGAGGAAAGGCCATAGGATTTCCGATGCGCCAGGAATTCCAGATATCGTGATTTCTTCCTTTTTTTTTTCGATTCCTACGAGCAAGAACGGGAAGACAAGAATCACCGGTTCTAACCTTCAAATTAAAATCGTCAGAGACGAAGCGATACTTGATTAGCGAGATCTGAGTTTTCTCAATTGTGAGCGAAAGAAAATCGAAGCGTGGGAGCTGAATGTGTCATGTGGGCAGATTATGCTTCGAATACGTGACTGATCATCCGACTGAGAGACGGCGGCTGCTGGAATCCAAAGGTCAATGTAGCCCGCCGTATAACGGTATAAGGGTTACGCACGTCGGAGCTCCTGCCATACTCCGTCTGGTCTGGCTATATTAAACCGACCAGATAAAGATAACCGGGACCAAACCATGGCACGGTCCGTGACGAAATTTTATTTGGTCCGGTGAACGTAGGCAACTCTACTTTCGGCCGTCATAGAATCGCGTCACGTGTTTTCATTATTTATCGTACGCCCCGACAATCCAATCTGAAACGGACTCAAGATTGCTCGGTATTGCTCGGTATTGCTAGGTATTGGTCGATTTTGCTCGGCAATAACCAATACCGAACAGTACCGAGCAAATACCTAGCAATACCGAGCAAATACCAAGTTGTACCGAGTTGTACCGAGTTTTGTCTAGCAATACCGACCAAATACCTAGCAATACCGAGCAAATCCCTAGCAATACCGAGCAAATCCTGAGCAAATACCGAGTTGTACCGAGTTGTCAAAAAACTCGGTACAACTCGGTATTTGCATGGTATTGGTCTTCACAGAGCGGTATTTCTCGTTTTTGCAAAGCAATACCGAGCAATACCAAGAAAATCGCAAACATAGCATTCCCGGGTTCCGCTCCGGGTCAAGTCGTCGGGCCGCGCCGTAAAGAGCAAGAGCACGTGGCGACATGTTATTGGCGGCCAAACGTAGCTCTACGTCCGGTCAGAAGACGTAATAATTGTTCGTTCGTGATGATGTTATGGTTCCTTACAGATCATTGTTGTTTTTTCACTTTGTTTTTTTAATTAAATTATGTTATGAGAAAGATATTTTTATAATTATATTTATTAGATCATAATAGCAATCAAAAGTCATATTTTTTTCCCAAATATAACAAAACTATAATATCCACAAATATCAAAAAATTTATATTCTCACAACGATTTTAGAACTAATTTTATAAACATGTATTATAGAAAGACTTAATGGCAAATAGAAAAAATGTGGGGGACTCCAAGAGCAATTTAATGTTCAGATGAGCAGTATACAAAGAACAAAAAAATAGAAGACAAAGAAAGAAGAGGAAGAATAAAGTTGAATGTATTTCCATTAATATCAAATATCTTCATGATACGGCTTAATATACTTCATATTCAAATAATGACAAATCTCTACTCACTCACTTATAGTTAGGGTGTAAGTGAGTCAAGCCGGCTCAAACTTGGCTCATGAATAAGCTCACGCGTTATTCAATTATTGATATTCCCCATTGAGATGGTAGTGCTTGAGGATGATGATTTATAATGGTTCATTTGGCATTGTTGCATCACCAAGCTTATGGTGGGTTGGTCCAACGTCGAGTTCATATCAATTTTCTTTGCCCATGAAAGAGCAAACTTGTCCCCAGTCCCCACGTTAGATGCTAGAATGTATTGATCATCATTGTTAACCCATGTCGCTTCTTCATAGGAAATTTTTATTCCGTCAGGTTACCTGATGTAGCTCTACGTCAGGTAGCCAATAATATGTCGCCACGTGCTCTTATTCTTTATCGCGCGGACTGATAACTCAACCCGGAACGGACCCGGGAGTTTGTGTATTGCTCGGTATTGATCAATTTTGCTCGACAAAAATGAAAAATATCATTATGTGAAGAGCAATACCGAGTTCTTTTATGTATTACTCGGTATTGACCTTCACAGAGCGGTATATCTCGTTATTGCCAACCAATACCGAGTAATGCCTAGCAATACCGAGCAATACGCGAACATAGTAATCTCGGGTTCGGTCCGAGTTGGGTCGTCGGGCCGCGCGGTAAAGAGTAAGAGCACGTGGCGATATATTATTGGCTACCTGACATAGAGCTACATCAGGCAACCTGACGGAATAAAAATTCCTTCATAGGGTATGTCAGACCATTGGGCAAAATGTTACAAAGTAGAGCTTATACAATTAAGAATTTGATAGGATCATAGGATTATCTCGGATTGGATGAGTTGTGGCTATGCCATGAAGACTTCAAAGGAATTCATAGTTATGATGTAGGATTCACTTTTGATGTTAGCCTAAGTCTTCGTTTGGGACGGCTTTTTTATTGCTTTCTAAAATTGAGTTTTAGTACAAAAATAAACAAAAAATTGTACTAAAATTCCGTTTTAGAAAGCAATAAAAAAACTGTCCCAAACGAAGCCTAAATCAGTGGCCATATAGTGCTACAATTGCTAGAGATTTTGGGTCATCTCTTGTTACAATTTATATTATATTATCATAGGAATTGGGGAAGTGAATAATGTGTTAAGACAATATGTAGTTTATTTTGAGAGTTCCATCTCATCGACTTGAGCTAACACCTTAGTGAACTTTTAAGATGAGCTCAATTTATGATCGATCGTACATTCATAATTGAGTCATTTCATTGGGAAACAATATCACATTGATATTTGTATAACTTGTGACAATCAAATTTACTTTTGGAATGTTTCATATTCTCTTTCAATATTTATTTTAAATAAATTATAGACTATATAATAATAAACATATCAAATATTAAAAATAAACTCATTCGCAATATTTCTTTTCTTTCATCAAAATGTATCTATAATATTATATATGGCTATATTTAAAAGCTAAAAAATTGCATGATAAACTAGCCATAATTATATAAAACCAACAAAAGAAATACATATCAACCCTAATTAGTCCTAAGCTGCTAATCATTTAGCTCCATCCCTTACTCAAATCCTGAAAATTAGAAGCAAGATCACAGTGAGCTACAATAACTCAGTTGATCACACAAACCGATCTAAAATTTCAACTTTTATTAAGTATTTTGTTGAATATTTAAAAGTAGTTTAATTGATCAATGTATTAAGAAATATAATAAGAGCATAGCAATTATTTAATTATTTAAATAATATTATTGAACAAATAAATAAATTGCAATTCATATCATAGAGTAATTTATGCCACATTTTTTAGACCCAGACAGAATCTCAAAGGATCATGACCCCTTATGACTCACTTATGTGCTTATAACATCAGAATATGACTTACAATTACTAGAATTTCGTATAGACACCAAAATATTACATGAAACAGACAGAATCTAAAAAGAGTTTGACCCATTATCTCTCCCAATAAATATAATTTAATCACATACACACATTTTTTATCATATTACAATTAAAGTGTAATTGAGCATATGTCAATATTTCATAATTTTCTATAACGGTGGACAACAGTAAAACCTACTAAGTAAAAATGCATATTTTCAATAAATAACCAAATTATCAGGGATCATAAAAAATACTGTTTTAAAACTTTAATTGTACAACATTAATTTTTTAGAGTCCGGATTATTATCTATTCCATAAAAACTGTATAAATTTTAAAACCCCTTTTATAAATTTTCAGGAAATATTGAAAGTGTTTAAAATATCAATCGTCATAATATATAAAAAGTTACGCATTGAAAGTTTTATCAGTATAAGATTATGTCCGTTTTTTTGCAATAAAAATTGAAATTTAATTAAAAAATTAGATAAAATCTTCATATTTTTAAGAATTGAGATAGGCGCAGTGGGAAATACATAGATCCAGACAACTTTTTTAACTGGGCCGACGGCTAAAAATGACCCGAAGCAGCTAAAAAATCCTCTTATTGCTCCCAAAATCCTCTTCTTTCGACTTTTTTCAATTGGATTAGAACATGTCAATTCATATGTTGAACCTGGAGGTGTCACAACTCGCCCCGCCTCAAAAAAATGTTATTCTCAACATTTCAAAACTCAGATCTTAGATCACAAAAATAATCTAGATACAATTGTCGCATCTCAATCTTTTTTCCAAGTATCTTCTCTTTCAACCTTGTTCTTCCACTGAACTTTAATCATATGAATATATTACTCCTTAAATTTTGACATTATAGGCTAGAATCATTTTTGGTTCTTTCATGTAGCTCATATTCAGATGTACCTAGATGTCTTCGACAAATACCCTATTTTTAGAATAAGATATCTATTTTCTCAATAGTAACACATGGAACACATTATGAAATTATAACATATGATCTAATAACTACAACCTTTAGGCATCTTTCCCAATCCTTTTAACAACTTCAAATGGTTGAGCATATCTTGGACTCAACTTCCCTTCCTTGTCAAATATATTAATGCCTTTCATTAGCCTGATCTTCACATATATAAAATATCCTACATGAAATTCCATAGCCCGATGCTTTGCATCAAAATATTATCATTGACTATCATATACAACCTTCAATCTATCTCTAATAAAATGAATCTTTTCAATAGCATTATAAACTAAAGCTAGCTCAATTAGATGTCTCTCACCCACCTCTAACAAAATCGAAGGAGTCCTGTACTTTCTACCATACAGAGTTTCATATGTAGCCATATAGGGGTGTAAACGAGTAGAGTCGAGCTTGAGTTAGGGGGTGTTTGAACTCGGCTCTTAACTCAAGCTCGACTCGCGAGTCAAATGTAGAGTTCAAACTAGACTTCGAACCCGTGACACTGCAACAAGCTCGTCGAGCCGCTTGATTTCGTGTCTGCTTGCCTAGGTTTGCAACCCGATTTTCATTTTGCCGCCCGGTTTTGAGTTTTACCGCCCGCTCGTCTAGGTTTCCCGCCCAATGTTCACACAAATGTAGCAAAGCGAATGAATCATAGGATCCTTAACATTACATGTAATCATGTAAAATCATGATCTTAAAATTTGTACTGGCTGGATGAACCAGCCGAACTGTGAATCGGCCGGCCGATTCGGCTCATTCTCTTAATCAATTTCGAAGCAAAGTGGGAATACTAAAAACAGGCACCGGGTGGTTGAAAACAAATGTTTGCACATGTAAATACTATTTATATTCCACTGTTTCGTGTTCTCGTGCGTCCCATTTGTCCCCCTCCCGCCCTAGGGTTTTTTGTTCATGATTGGCGAACTGAACGAGCTCAACTCCTCTTGGCATTCGAAATAGGGTAGAGAGCGAGGGGGAGAATTCATTTTATGAGAAAAGGCGAGATAGGGAGAGACAAAATAGATGAAATTGAGGGAGTGTGAGGGATTGCGTGTGGTCTGATTCCCAAAAAAAAGAGAGCATTCG